GACCCGCAAATGCATGCGTAAAATTCTTCTTCTTCTTTTTTTTTTTTTTTTTTAAAAAGGAGAAAGCCTAGATAAAAACATGCAGCGCGACAATGGCGCATCTTATGAATAGTAAATGTTGGTTCTATCTATCCCGAGCAAACCTGCCGCCGAGATAAAGGAGCGTTAAGCGGCTTGAGGGAACAATAATCGGAGGTTTAGGAGGAAAAAAAAAAATCCCCCCCAAAAAACACTGACTACATCAGTGGAGAGACGGGAGTCACAGCCCCGAGTCCCTGCTACAACAGACGGGAGGAAAAACACCGTCAACGACGCACAGGCTGCGTACGAACAACAGGGAGCGTTCACGCGGTATTATCGTGGCGGTGCGATAATGTTTGATCAATATTCAATTTGAACCGTGGGATTTAAATATCACCAAATCAACACTTTATTAGAACAATAGGAAATACAGCAGGTGTGGGTTTGTTTTTACCAAATTTATCAGAAGGTTTTTGTTTTTAATTATGTAATTATTAAATAAAATATTTTTGCGCAATTATGATTTTTATTTTCATTATTATCGTTATTTATTTATCTAATCTCTCATGTTATACCTGAGTTATTATCAATATAATTTTTTTCTTAAAACAACATCAAACAAACAACAATATCTAAAATATTGCAGCTTTGTATCTTTTTAACCAATATATAACCAAAGTTAATTATTAAACACTGTTCAAACCTAGACGTTGTTTTGATACATTTATAAATTAATATTTTTGAATTGAAAATGGAAATTAAAAATATATCCTTAGTCTCCGTGACTTTTTAATTTATTTTTTATTAAGCCATAAATCAATAGGTTTCCTCCATGCATAATTCAGAACAGCGGCCTTATTGATGCTCTGATCATTGACAAACAGCCTCTGACTCTGAGGGTCAGCCATTAAACAACAGGAGCCTCGTTTTCATTATAGTCGGTGAGGATCTGGTGACTATATATGTCACACACACACACATATATACATATATATATGTATTTAATTAAAGGTCTGGCGACTGGTCTTCCTTACCTGGACCCTGGACTCCACCAGGTCCAGCCTGAGGGCCAGCGCCTCCCGCATGAACACGTCAGGATAGTGGCTCTCGTTGAAGGCTTTCTCCAGCTCCTCCAGCTGCCACCCGGTGAAGTTGGTCCTGGTCCGTCTGCGTTTACAGCCGGGACTGTCCTTATCCGGGTCTCCAGAATCTGATGAGTTGTTTGTGTGTGTTTGTGTGTGTGTGTGTGTGAGGATAAAACAAATTAACAGCGGTTCATTTACTACAATATATACTAATATTGTTAACAAATAACCGTGACACACACACACACACATATATATATAAATACATTTAAATTTATTACTGTATTACAAAATCTCAAAATTATTCTCCATAATTTATTAAAAAAAAATCAAACCCATTAATATTTTAAATACATTTTTTAAACCCGGATGGCAGCCAATAAATTACAGTCTGAGACTTTTAATTTTAGCATTTATCATTTTAATACTGGTCTGTTGGTTAGTATAATATTAGTTAGTGTAATATCATGTTGTTTTTTTTAAACTAAAAAGGTAAACAGAAATAATTTCTCTTAATCACGATTTTAGTCTCTTTTGTTGTTGTTGTTGTTGTTGTTGTTGTTAAATATATGTGATGTTTCCACGGAGCCTCAGCACATTTCCCTCTTTCACTGCGTGATTGTTTACTTTAAAAAAAGAGAATTTAAAAGCCTACCTGAGAGTTTGAAGTGCGGGCTGTCAGCGGACAGCAGCGGGTTACTGGAGCCGACCACCGAGGCCGAGCAGGAGCCGTTCAGTAATCCGTCTATAGAGAAGGGCACGGCGGCGGCGGCGGCGGCGGCAGCGGCGGCGGCGGACTGCAGCTGGTGCCCGCCAGCCAGCTCGTAAGAGTGGTGCCTGTGCTGGTGTGGAGAGTGGTGGTGGTGGTGGTGGTGATGATGGGGGCCGAGCGGATAGGGGAAGCCCACCAGCCCGCCCAAGGAGCCTCCGAACTGGGCGTGAGGATGCTCGAGGACCCGGCTGTCCATGGTCGCCCGGGCTGCGGCTGCGGCGGGGCTGAAGTGACGCTGCAGACGGAAGCGGTGTGGCTGAACATGCAGTCCGTCACAGAGGAGTCAGGACGAGCAGGAACAGGAGGGAGGAGGAGGAGGAGGTGGAGGAGGAGGAGGAGGAGGTGAAGGAGGAGGCGGAGAGGAGAAAAACCGCCAGCACAGATTCTAAACACAGCGGAGAGCGGAGCTGTGTTCACGGAGCGGCCGAGACGTCAACCCTGCTCCTTCTTTTCGTGAACCTCCTCATTAGGACTCCTCCATCTGCTCCCGGGACCAATAAGGAGCGTTAATCGCCATGTGACGTCAGAGGCGCGGTTAATGGGGTAGGAAGGCTGAGGGAGAGAGAGAAGGAGAGAGAGGGAGAGAGTTTTCTTTCTGTCCAGATCGATCGTTAATTAAACCTGACTGATCCTTTAATATGACTCTGTCAAAACATTGGAGTTGAGGAAATATAATCGATCAAGTGAGAACATATGAAGAACACGAACATTTCCTGTTACACTCTTAACTAATGTTGGTTAAAGAAGAAGAAAAAGAAAAAGAACGCGACATGGGGGGGTCGGGGGGGGGGGGGGGGGACACTGATGCACTCCATATTTTCCCCTGTCGGTGGGGAACGTAGTTGCAACGTCGTGGTTCAAAGGTCGAATGGTCTGGTGGAGTGTTACTACCTGGAGCTCTGTTATTGTGTGGTGCTGTACACCTCTGCCAGAAAATGCAACACCACATTTAAAAAATAATAATAAAGAAAATGATAAAAAAAAACTTAAATAATAATTTAAAAAAGAGTAAGTGTAGATTATAATCTCTGAAAAATAATCTCCTTCCTGTGCAGCAGAACGCAGTTAAAGACGGACTAAAATGTCCATTTAAACTTGTGGTTTATAAATAAAAATAAGACACAACACAAGCAACACCAATAACCTCTCTCTCTCTCTCTCTCTCTCTCTGTGTGTGTGTGTGTGTGTGTGTGTGTGTTTCAGGACTAAACTGATCCAATAACAGTGCTTTTATCATTCCCTCTTTTCCTGAGCTGTCACATTGTGTTTTAAAGTACAAGCCTCTCTCCATCTCCCAGAGACCCCTACACAAGCACACACACACTCACACACACACCCTCTCACACACTCACACACACACCCTCACACACACACTCCAGTTGTTACGCACACTGCCTCAGTCAAATACTGCAACATTATTTCCATTTCTCACCTGAACAGCTTACACCGATGTTTACTTGTAGTGTGCGGTTGTCGTCTGCATGATTCACTACACACACACACACACACACGCACACACACACACACTGAGTCACTTTTCGGTGCACGTGCAGTTCCACTCCAGCCTGGAGTCTGTTTTTCCAGTTATTTCTACAGAAACATTTTCAAATTTCATTTTGTTTTTCACATCTTGAGTTCTAACATCACTGACAATCAGCTGCACCAGGTTCAAGGTTCAAGGTTCAAGGTTCAAGGTTCAAGGCAGAACAATAAGAGTTTAAAGTTCCTAAAACAGTGACCAGTTCTGGTTATTTGTTTTCCTTTTTCTTCTAAGAGTGTATCTTTGCAGGATCAACACGTTAGTGAACAGAGAAATCCAAAAATAGTGATGGAAAAAAATAAACTGCTGTTTTTATTTATTTATTTCAGTTATTTTCTTGCAGCAGAAACTTTTATTCACTTAAGTTAGTCGTCAACTCTTTTAGCCATTTTAAACTCAATTAAATGGAAAATTAAATTTCCAAAACTATAAAGTAAAGTACGAATGAAAAACAGTGGAATAATTGTTAGAAAGTTTGTGTTTAAAATTAGAGGAAAAAGTACAATATATATATATATATATATATATAAATTCACTTGTGTTTTAGTTTGTTCCTTTTACAGTGAGCTCTGGGCCTTGGGGAAAATAATTACCAGTAGTAAATCGGACCTGTAGGTGGCAGTAGTTCAAATCAAAGGATGCAGAACTTCCTTCAAAACCATATTTGAAAGAAGCCGTGGATGGGGATCAGATGTGAACAGTTTTAAATCATGGTTTAGGTTTTTTTGACATTCTGTCGTTGGAGCAAACTGAAAGGTTTTTTTGACATTCTGTCGTTGGAGTGAACGGTTGTCAGCGTGATTCACTACACGTCGTTACTTTTGAACTCCTCCGTAAGTCAACATGTTAATCCTGCAAAAATACTTTCTTTTTCAGAGGAAAAGGAAAAGAAACTAATTTAATAGGTGAGCGCAACACCCAGGACTGAGAACGAGACCGGTCGCTAAGAACTCTGGGAATGAAAAAGGCAGCGGTCAAATCTAATATCCTGAAATACTGCGAGTGCAGGGTTTAAATGTACTGCAGTAACTGGAGTAGGTTTTTATAAATGTTCTATGTAGAGATGTTTTCATATTTTTGAGTTTAACTCTGTACGATCTTGGCTGGAGTTCGAACCAAACCTGGACCGTCTGTGAGGACAGTCCGTGTACGAGACCAAAGCAGACGTATATTACTGCTGGTCCGTTCAGTGACAGGTTTTTTACCGTGGCCTCACGTCATCCTGTTCACATCGTTTCTCCTGCTGGGAGGTGCTGCTCAGGATGAAGTGTGTATTAGTAAATGAAGGCGTCATGGCAGAGGCCGGGAGTGACCGCAGGTCCAGGTGGACACCTACGGAGACGCTGTGAAGGGAGAGAGAAACAGAGAGAGAGAGAGGGAGATTATAAATTGTAAATGGTGTTGCAGGGGCCAGATCTTGCCTGAGGCGGTGACTGCTTCATTTTGTGTTAAATTTCTTGACAGAAAGCCACCCGCGTGCTGGTGAATACTGAATGGTAATCAGAGCTGCTTGAATAAGTGCCCCCACCCCCCCTCGTGAATTAATTCGACTTTATTTATCCAATTTCTGGAGCTGACAGAATGTTAATTTGAGTTGAGATTTCTCTCTGCTGTTCTGCCTGTGACCCGCAGCCCCGGGATTGGCGTGTTGTAATAACCTGAATCTTTCACCAGAAGCTCTGATAATTGTTACCTTATTAGCATGTAAATTGTTTAATTAATATTATTATGAAGAACCATATAATCCCTCCGTTACTTGACCCCGAGTCGACACGCGAGCGGGCTTTTCTGCATTTCAATGTCTACTTTTTAAATGGACTCTTTAATGTGGGCCGGTCTTCAGGCTCTCACAGCGACTCTGAACATTTGGAGAGCAGCGTTTGATGAGCTATCTGTCTCCATCTCTTACTTTTATTTCCTGTTTCATTTCTTTTTCTTCTTTTTTTCCTGATGTGTATTTATTTCCTCAGAACTCTTTAGGAAACTTCCACATCTATCGCCTTCACGTCAGTTCCTCACACATGTAAAAGCCCCCTTCTCTTTCTGAGCCTCACTCTCTTTATTTTCCCAGTGGCTGTTCAAGCCAAACACATGCAGTGCTCAAAGAAAAGCAGCCCTTGACATGAGGTCCTGAGAGACCGCAGCATTTAAATTCGTTTCTTTCTCCCCCACTTCCTCCTCCTTTTTTCACCCGGCACGAGTGACATTGTCAGATGCTAGCTTTAATTAACTTGATAATAAGATGGGCGACACACATACAGGCCGGGGGTTTCGCCTCCCCTCCTGCCTCCTCTCCCTCATCTGTCTCTGTGCAACATGACCAAAGCTGTACTTGGAGGAGAAACACAACAACATTGGTCTCTGCTGAACTGACGGCTTCTCAGCTCTCCTCAAAGATCTGAGGGAGGACCGACCAGGATTACAGCCGAGTTTTCTGAACGGTAAATTGGTTGTAAAGCTGTAAAGTTAGGGGAAAACCTACACAAAAAGGATCAGAAAGCTATTTTGTCACATGACATCATTTTGTACGAGCACGAGGCTAATAATTAAGATGTCGGGTTTTTTGACATTAACAATCCAACAACTGAACTGTTAACCTTTTATTTCTGCCATTTGCCATGCAGTGAAGAAGCACTAATACAGGAACAACAGAAGAAATCTCTCACCTCTCCTGCAGGGGGTGCTATGAACAGATATGCACCGGTCACTGCTTTGTTTTTGGTAATGCAACATTATTCTTAAAAAAAAGTGTTTCTCTAAAAACAAGTCACGAGGCTAAGTGTCAACAGGAGCCAGTCAGGGTGCGGCAGACGGGCTTAATATAATACAGAGCTCTGTTGTTCTGTGAAGCTGTACACTTCAAATATGTTTTTTAAAAACACATACAACTTCAGTTAGCATGATGTTAAAACTGCTCTAACCCAATCCCCATCCTCCGTTTCTTTCAATTATGGTTTTAAAGAAAATTCTGGATCCTTTGATTTGAATTAGTGCCACCTACAGGCCCCTATTTTCTACTAGTAACTATTTCCTCCAAGTCCCAGTACTCACCATAAAAGGAAAAAAATGAAATTTACACAAATTATTATTTTCCTGTGTGACAAACTTTCACCTCTGATTTTTAACACAACCTTTCCATGAACTAATCCACTAATTTCTTTATTCATACATTATACTTTTGGAAATGTAAATTTAATTTACCACCGTGGAGACAAAAATGAAAATGTTACTTGGTTTAAACCATCATAAAACATTTCACTGAGGAGTTAATGATCTCTACCTCGAGCTCTTCTTTAAAACATCATGTTGTCATTTTGTGAAATACAGTCCTATTTAGAGTAAAATGGATGATAAAGCACGGATAGCAGACTTTATGGTGTGTCCGAAAGTCAATGTCACATTGTTGACCTGCGGCTCAACCCACACCCCCTACAATCCAACATGGCCTCTTTAAATGTCAAAACACTGAGACGACCTTGGTTTTCCAGACCAGTCACGAAGCAATGGTTTATACATCAAAGCTGATTGGAATTTACTGATCTGAACTCATATTCTATAAATGAAGACCTGGAACTAACAACCGACAACCGAAGGTCATCACAAAAATCATTACCTAAATATTAAATCAAGAGCTTCATCTTAATTTACCGTATTTTCTGGAAAAAGGTCATCACAAAAATAACCATTACTAAATAATAAATCAAAAGGTTCATCTTAATTTACCGTATTTTCTGGAATACAGGTTGCACTTTTTTTATCAATTGTCTAGGTTTGCAACTTATACTCAGGTGTTACCTACATATTCACAGACACTAGAGGGCACTCTAGTCTTGTGTACCAGTATCTGCTACTCTAAATTTACATGTTACATGTTACTGACAGCCGCTAGATGGCACTGGTGCGTTTGCTAATTTCACACTGACAGCCGCTAGATGGCACTGGTGCGACTTATACTCCAGATCGACTTATATTCCGGAAAATACGGTACATATAAAAAATGTCATGTTATAAAACTGACTTCTTGTGAATCAAATTGACATCAGACCAAATAAGCAGTAAACTGGCAAAAACAAAATCTATATGTCACGTAAAATTCCAGATTAGATGGAAAAAAAACAAAACAATGTCCTCATCAATAAAACATAATGATTTCTTGTCACTGTAGTTAAACATGTATATTACAACATAAACATTCAGACCAAAAAAAACAACAACAAAAAAAACAAACAAAACTTTTTTTTTTTTTTGTTTCTTTACTAAATAAAAGTCTGTAAGTAAGTGAACGAATCAGAAGAATCTGATTTGAGCTCCAGAACTCGTCAACGAGTCTCCTGAGAGCTGGAAATGGAGTCACATTTATTTTTTCATTAGCAAACTAAGGTGAACCATTGGAGAGTTAATTACTCAATTACCGAGCGCAAGTTAATTTTTAAGCATCTGAAATGAAGTCAGTCATTATTTAGTCGTTGGGTTGATAATTAAAAGTCTCATTTAAATTAATTGTTACGAAGCTGGATTTTCATCTAGCACTTCACTAAGTCAGGGAAGTGGATGCAATTCCAATTAAAAGTGAAGGGCTTTAATGTATTGACGGGTTGTTTTTCCTTTTTCTTTTTTTTTTCTTGCCACTGAAGATGTCCTTTCTTCCCTGACACATAATAGAAACATTGATGATTTCAAATAGACATTTTCAAGTGTGGTTTAATTTTTTTTTAATCTCTATTTAAAATAAAAACCTTCACTGCCTTTATCTCATAATGACTGTTGTTATTGAATATATGATTTTTTTTTAAAAAAATCCCCCATTTCATTAAGATAAACTAAAAACTCAAAGTTGTATTTGTTTTTTGAACACAATTACAGGAGCAAAAAAAAACAACAAACTGTATAAACAATGGGTTCAGTTAATCAGTGGAGCTGTGTTCACGTGCACCGCAGCTTCCTCGCAAAAAAATCTGTTTCTCCAAAACGACTGTAATCAGATTCAGACTTCCTCTGGAGCAATAACTCCATTTCAATTAAAACTGACTTATCACCTTTTACTAAAACAAGCTTAATATGTCAGAAAATGTTCAATGCTTGAAAGACTCCAAAATGCCATTTTAATTGTCATCAGTGAGTGGGATCTCCCCCCGCAGCCCTCCCCTCCTCTGCTCCCCCCTCACCCTTCTTCCTGATCACCCTCCTTCTTTTTCTTGGGTTGTCTTGGCACAAGCTGCACGGAAATAGACCTAATTAACCTCCCGAACCCGCGGGGAAATCCGCTATGCAAATTAACTTTTTCAAAATGTAGTAATGATATAATTTGAGAAATGGCGGCGCCAATTTTTTCTTACGCCCGGGCCTCTTGGAAGTGTTTGCATTAACATCTCAGTGGTTCACTCCATCAATACTTTTCTCAAATACTCTTGATCTCCTGGTGAGTGTGTGTGTGTCTGGTGTGTGTGTGTGTGTTGGAACAAATGCCCAGATCTGATGGGCACCATAAAGGAAGAATGGATCGGCCTATTTGGCCACTGGCAGGCTACTGGAGCCCAACAAAACCATCTGCTATAGGAGAGAAAGAGGGTAGGGGAGAAAAAGAGGAGGGGGAGGAGGGGGGAAGTCTCCTCCTCCTCCCTTCCCTCCCTTCTCTCCCTTCTCTCTCCCTCTCACTTTTCTCTCCTTCCCAAAAGAGCTCAGCTTAGAGCCACTCTGTGAACGGGGAAAGATGTTTTAATTAGGCGGCAAGTTCATGAATCTCATTTAAAACCGTTTAATGAATCGCTGCGTACGAAGAGTCAGCGCACGCTGCAGTAAAGGGACGGACGCCGGTTCAAAAATTAAGTACTGTTTTTAGGTTTGTTTGTGTTTCTGTTTTTGTTTTTTTCTCCATTATCCCCGGGTGTCACCGGCTTCATAACTGTTTAAACTGCAGTAAAACGACGACAATCAGTTTATTGATTATTAATGTGAGGCTTTCAGGAGTCTCTGCTGACACTAGTGCACATAATAATATTAATAATAAGGATTAAAATACATTTCATTATTTTGTGATAGATATATGTAAAAGAAATTAAACAAGATATAGGTGACAATTTTGTGAAGGAAGATTTTCCCATATATTTAAATATTTTATTTTTTATTAATATCTTTAAATTCTATATTTGGTTCCTGTAAAAATGTCTGTAAAAATACCACTAACGACTGTGTAAAACCACTCATCTACTGTAGAATGACATTTTCACCTTGTATCAGTAAACATCAGTATGAACAACTAATGAATCACTTCACATCTGCTGGTTTTTCATAAACACACACAGACCCTAAACCCAACCTCTAATTAGGAATAAATAATTACCGGTGCAAGTTTGTTAGTATAAGCTGCAAGATAGTGATTTAAAAGGCGACTGTGTCTGTGTCTGTGTCTGTTGTTGTAGAACGTTATTTCTATCAATTATATTGTGTACATGTTTTAGGACATTTCTGGTTTTGGGACGTAATTTGTTTTGATAACATATTAAATATCTTTATGTGATTTTTTTTGTAACACCCACTGAGTTGAGCTTTGATGAAAACATTTTACAAAAATCTATATAATTTATTAAAACTGCCCCATTCAGTTTTTCCTTTTGTTGATACTGTTGCCATTACGGCCGGTTTAATCTGCTGAATCTGACAGATGTTTGTAAACTTTATTTATATTTTATATGTGACCACACAGCTCAAATATATATAATACATATATATATATATATATATTTTATTTTAACTGTTAACTGACTCATCCACAGCTGACGTCTTTGTACGACATATGAACGAAGCTGAAGTCCACCTGGTGGTGAATCAATGAACACGACGTGATTTTATTACACCTGATCTTGGTGACGTCTCCTAACATCTGCAGGTTTTTACCAGTTTTAGTCACTTTTCCAAATTATTGTCTTGTCGGTAATAAAACAGTTTGAAACCAAATGTAAACAATTATAATCAAATCCAAAATTACACCTTAAATTATTTCCCCAGTTGCACATTTGCTGTGTGTGTTGTAACGGGCTACGCACAATTTAAAACACAAATCTGAAAAAACTAGAAATAAAAAAAACAAACAGTTCATTTCTTACTGATCACAAGATGTTCTGTCAACGTCTTCACTTCTTCACCCGTGAAAACTTCCGTTTGACTTTTCACACACGACTGGGGGAAAAAAAAACATTAAAGAATGTGAAACGTGTTCAGGATTATTTTGCAACTTTCATTTGAATGACCAGCTGTGTTTTCACACTTCAACAACAACAAATAATAATATAAAATATATAAAATAATAAATATGTTTCTTCACAGAATACCTTTTTTCATAAAAACCTATATGTGAATCATAAAAAAACACCTGCCCACACAATCAAGAAGAATCACAACAATATTACAACAAGTAGTAATGTAGTATCAGGAAACCCCGTTTTGAATTAAAGCGTCTTTGACTCGAGTCCCCAAAATTTGATTCAAAAATGCGGTGGCTCTTTTAATAAAAATATATTTTTGCGCTAATGAAGAGAATGTGTGACTGTTTTGGCTCTCAGCCAAAATGACAAGACAGTGAAAAGCTCACAGATATCAGTCAGCAAGAGCAAATAATTTCATATAAACTGCCAGTTCACCAAGCCCAGCTTAATGACACCCTCTGGAATATCCCCCCCAACATATGCCTAATTGTTTACAACTGCTTGTTTACATAAATACAAAATGCTGCAGGGGAGGATGGATGGACATGTGAGGGCTTGAGGGTGAGGGGGGGTTTAGAGTCACTACACTATCAGACAGAGGCGTAGAATTAATAACAATTTGTGGCAGATAATTACTTATCAATTAAAGCTGTTATCCTGGCTAATTAGGCAGCGTTCATTAAATTCAGCCAATTTAAGCCTTAATCAAAGTTAGCAGGGCCTGACAGCATAGGAGGGAGTCGGATGATGCGCGCCCCCCAGCGGAGGAGAGGAGAGCTACAGGAGAGTCTGTGTCAAGAACATTGAAATTGAGCTTCGTCAAAGTGCTTTAAAAAATGAAAGGTAAAGAAAGGCAAATACGGCAAAACACAAAATCGAAAGAGTAGGTTTGTTTGTATACATTTTAATATAATTTTCAGTCAAGTGTTGAAAGCTGGTGTACTTTTTAGTTTGAGAATTAATTTTAGAACTAAAACTGATTGTTACTGAGCATGTTCAATTTTTTTTTCATAACTGACATTTATATTTTTACCATAATCTTACATTTAAATAAAAATAATTGATGGCAAATATCTACATACATTTATTATAACACCAACTGCCAGTAGGTGAAGTACAGCACATGTATAAAATCGCTTCTATTTATCTGTGAATCATTTGATTCTTTTTGAACCAGGATCTATTCTATGAATATTCTGTTCTATGTACTCCATGACTTCATGCATCCTGCTAGAAATCTATTAACCTTAAATGACCACGTCAAACTCTAGCTGTTGATGTTTCTTTCCATGTCACTCTGCTTTATACAAGTAACTCAGTGTAAAGTAATATGAAAAGGATGAGGTTTATCTTCTAGATGTAGCGGCCATGAAACTTTGTGGAAAAATCTAAATCTAAAATAATATAAAGTAAAATCATGTAAATAAAAACATATTTTATATAATGAATAATAACAGTAATAATCAATGTTGAACAGAAATGTGTAGAACACACAAAAGCCAGATTTAACTACACCCCCGTACCCCGTCCCACCCACTCCACCCCAACCCTCTGTCCTGTCACCTCTGATTTTAAAGCCTTCGCTTCCAAAAACTGTTGGAAGTCGCCAATTTGACAACAAAGCACAAGCTTCTTGGGGGCGGCTGGGCACGAGGAACGAGTTAATTAATATTGGCTCCTGTTTGGTCAAGTTAATGAATGAGTGAATTATGCACCTCTGGGACACTGCCTCCCCGATCGCTTTAAATTATCCCCCGCACCCCTCTTTCTCTATTGTCCTCCAATTTCCCCACTCTGATCCTGCACTGATGGGGTCCCTGTCCCTACACACACTGACACACACACACACGGACTCCATCTGTCTGTCTTCATCCTGCTTGTGTGGACTTTAGTTCATTGTCTCCAGCACATGTATTGACACCTTTTTTTTTTTTTTAATTCAACGCTCCTATTCAACCCTGCACTATAAGCTCAGGGTGGCAAATAACTTCCATCCCATTAACTCATTTGAGAGGGGAGGCTACTCAAACAAAGCTGGGCTGAAATCTGATCCTCCTTCATTTTCTCCTTCTCACACACACACACACACACACACACGGACTGTTGATGAAAAGAGGAGTGGTTAAAAGAAGATCCATATTATTTGCATTAAAAGCCTGGCAGCGTGAAATTCATTTATAATTACAAAGCAGGCTGCAGTGAGTGTTATGCAGATCAGGGCGACATGTGTGGACCGAATCATGCTCAGAGTGGTTATTCGGTGATATGCTAACGGGAATGTATGGTGACAGATTGCAATTATCCTGTTATTGTAATTGTCAAAATCAATTCACTGCAGGCCAAGTGCAGACTACATGTAAAAGAGCAGGAGTAACACACGACTGTCTGGATGTGATTGTGGTTGAGACCCTGTTAACTGAGTCTCAAATAACAACAAGATGCTGCTGTCAGGCCTGTCACTTTAAATAACGTGAAGACACCCTGCGTGTTCCATCCAAATGCATTCCAAGTGTTAAAGCTAAGAGTGGACTGGAATATGTTATTATGTTGCACTCTATATGAAGTGTACATACTTATATGTGTACATACATATATATATACATATATATACATACACACACACACACACACACTACAACTTAGTTCATATATGTTAAATGCTCTTAAAACGTATTTAGTGTTTGTCTGTCTCAAAGAATGTTAGGTATACGGTCATCAAAACATCATATAAAACACACACTTACAGTTGATTCTTCTTCACATGGGTGTCCATCGCCCCCTTGTGGTAAAACAAAGCGCATTCCAGGTCTGTGCAATCCACCTCGCTCGCTGCTCGTTTTCCAGCATGTCCCTGAAATTATGGGCAGTTAAAATTTAAATTAATAAGAACCATATGCCTATTTAACAAAAAATAATTCTGTTTTAAAAGAATTGTGAATAAATAATAAATGAATTTAATGGTAACATTTTTGTATCCAAAACAGCTCAGTGATTGTTTTTTTGGGGGAGGCATCAAGGTCAAAGGTTTTCCTGGTGTTGAAGTTTGAGTCAAGTCATGTCATGAATATGGAATGTTTATTCTGTTCCATATATTTTTTATATATTTTCTTCTTTTTATAAAGTCAACATTAAGAAGGCATTAAGAATTCTAAAGCACTTGCTCTGCGTATAATTCTATAAAGACATGGTTAACAAAATCAATAAAACTACAAACAAACAACTTAGTATACTATACAGTTGGGGCCTAACTAACACCTTTGATCTGGTTGATGAATTCTGTTGTGTGCCTGTCAGGTAGTCAGTCCTCGTTGTTTTGACAAAGTTACATTCCATTTTAACTAGATTAGCAACTGGTCACAGAACCAATAGCTTCATATTATTGCATTTTAGCTGCCGATCAGAAATCAAGATGGCGACCTTCAAAACGACCACTTTTGCTGAAGCTCTTCGGAAATACATTTGGTTACAAACCAAGTACAAACTTACTAGGGAACCGCTGGTAAGGTGTTTGGCGTAAAGAATTATGACAAACCGAAAACATAACTTCGGAAAAAATTGTAAAAACACAACTCGTACTGGCAGTTGATACGTTAAGCCGCCATTTTGTTTTTTGTTTTTTCAGAGACCGTGCAACTGTGAACTGATTGGCTGCGCTCAGTGAGAGTATTTGAACGCACCTGTTATTATTATTATTTAAGTAAACTCAACTTCGTTACGTAGTTTAAACCAAACTGTGGAGGAGCTCGGTGGTTTTTAGCTTCTACGATGGCTGAATCCAGGAGAGTTCAGTTCACTACTCTGTCCAGTCTCACACCTTCACCCTCAGACCAGAGTAGCAAGTCTTCGTCACCGGTACGGTCGGTACCGTCAGTACCGTCACCACCGTCCCTTTCAGGTGTCGAGCGAGGCCAGCTAAACGGACCAGACCAGGCCGTTAACACCAACACCGTCCGCCTGCTGCTCACTTTATTCGAGCCCGATGAGCGAAGTTTCCCGGAGTTTAGCTACACTCAGCTCATCGATGGCAAGGTAAGAATTTAAACTGAGAGTGAGATAAGAATATACATTTATTTATTGTCAAAATTCACTTTTTTGACCTCGATCTAAAAATGTAGCAAAATGTAAACGTCTGATTTTGATTGAATGTTATTGGTAACATGGGCGTTTTAACAACCCCTAAGAAAATGGACAAAAAAAAGCCCTCTGTAATGAATTACAACCCATGGAGGTAAAATGGACAAAAAAAGCCCTCTGTAATGAATTACAAGTAAACTGATTAAATAATAAATACACATTTGAAATAAAAACATTATCGTGGCGTTTAATGTAAGGTTATTGGAAGGAGGGTATTTTTAATATTGGTGTTTAGTAATAGAACACAGATACAAAAATCATCATGTTTATGGTTTAATTTGTATCTACTTTTTCTGTGAAATGTTCTCCTTTGTTGCACAATTGAATACAACTACGTTTCTATCCAAGCTGTGATTGGCAAGTTTAAAAAAAATAAAAAGTTTTCTGCCAACAAGCCAAGCAATGTGGTTTCATCTTCCAACACTTTTGACCTAATTTTCCTAATTATTTACATCACGCAATGCATCCTGTGCTCTCTCTATGTTCGTGTGATGAACACCTTTTTATCAGATCAACTGTACAACTAACGGCTCACTAAGTAAGCTGGAGGAAGAAGAAGAAAAGGAGAAAGATGAGGTGGCTGTGATTGCCAGAAAACTGGAAGAAAAATATGTGAGTTGTGTGACAGAACTGTGTTATTTACTTTTATCTGACATGTCCTATAATACTTAAAAATATTTAAAATTAATATGGAAATGAAATGTAATTTTTTTTTTCTTCAAACAAATGAAACAATGTCTTTATCTGCAGGGTTTAAAAGAAAGAAAGAAAAAGAAGGATCGCATTCAGGATCTGATAGATATTGGATATGGATACGATGATGAGGATTCCTTCATCGACAACTCTGAAGCTGCAAGTCCACTCCTCAGACTAGCATTTCAAAATTATTTCTTTAAATTACTTTATTATGTGGATGATTTATTTAATTTTTTTGCTCCCTGCAGTATGATGAATTTGTCCCGGCCGCCATCACTACGAAGTTTGGTGGATTCTACATAAATTCAGGGATGCTACAGTTTCGCCAGGCGTCTGACACAGAGAACGAGGAGGTCACAGCAGGAGAGAACACTCTCAGACTCTCAAAGGTAATTACTGCACAGAAATAAAGAAGAATAAATAATTTTTGCACCAGTGACTGAAATTGTGCAATTGTTTCATGTGTGAGAAACGTAAACACAATCCTGGACTGGAGAAGCCAAAGAAGAAACATTGCAGTTTAAATGAAGAGACGAAAACACACATGGAGTCAAAGAGCAGGTGAAGTTAAAAAAACACTGACTTAGTTTCTGGATTAGAAAAATAAACCATTACTGTTATTAAGGTTTCAAAATGGGCCTTAGTTTTTGTACCTCCAGGACTAGTTAATGAACTCTTCAATATCATATGATTTTTCAAATTGATGTTACAGTGAATCGTATCAATCTGGACTCGTGGAGATAAAGCGAAAGAAGAAAAAAGGTCTTGGCACACTGAGCGTCACCAGTATGCTGAAAAAGTTTCAAAGAGAGAAGCAGAAGGAACAACAGAAAACTGAGAGAGCCAATCAGGTCGTGCCTGGAACTACAGGTGCAGCCACAATCCCTCTGTCCCCAGCAGATGCAGCAGGCGGCGGAGGCTGTGTGATAAACGATCCACTCCTTACTTTGATTGGCTCGACCAATGAGCAGGCTCTTATCCAGGCAGCCAATGCAATGGATCTTGACATTGACCTGGTCTCCTTGTTGGATGCCACTGAAAACATTTTGTCGCCAAAATCACTTCGTCATGCCACCACAGAGACCCAGCTTTTTCAGATGGAAACTGATGATCAGCGTGTTGCCAAAGCTCAGCCTCCGTCCCAAACTCAACCAGACCAGAATCAGCTCCAGCCGGAGTCCAGTTCTTCGTCACCACAGCAGTTTGTGCCTCTGCCGGAAGGACTTACACCAGGATTGGAAGACGCCATCAGAAAACTCCGGGTGGTGAGAGTGAAGTCTCATCTGGTTGAGTTTTGCCTTCATTGGTCAACTGCATTTTTATGCATTTGAGGTCATTTTTTAATTTTCAAGGCTGTCAAGTCTGCAGAGGGCGAATCAAAGCTCAAGTTCTTCACACCACTGATCAACTCTATCCTGCTGGAGTGAGTATTCTAACCACAGAAATTGAACTCTTGTGTTGATGTCTGACATTGTCCTCTCTTCACTGATCTGCTCCAGGATTGAGCTGCAGTGCAGAGAGCACTGCGCTCCACTGCGCTCCAAGTTGTACACACACCTGTCGTCATTCCTGCCGTGCAGCAGAGAAACTCTCCTGAAGCGGGTGAAGAAACTGTTTAACACGCACATGGTGAGGACAGTTGTTTTGAGTTGAAATTTTTACACTGTTATCAAATACACACTTGTTTATTTTTTAACATGTATTTTATCCTTACTTTTCCAGGAGGAGTCCCCTAACGTGGAGGATCCTGTACAGAAACTCAGGGAGGCGATCAGCAAAGCTCTGCCTGAACAGCTGGCTTCCTACCAAGCCAGCTGTGAAGCATTTGAACAAGTTAAGGCTTCAAGGTAAGTCAGACGATCATCTGAGGCTTTAGAAGAATTCCTTCATTTTAAATGTACAGTTGACAAACAGATTTGTGAATGTAAAACGATGCTGAATAAATGATAAATAAAGCAACAAAGTTGAAAAGGTTCGTCTGTCTTCATCAGGGCAAAAGAAGAAGGATATGAGGGGAGAGGGCCAAAGAAGGTGTTCGTGTGGGATGAACAGACCCAGTCAGATATGACTTTACTCTAAATATTTTTGACATGTCAATATTTTGTCAGTAAAAATCCTGTATTTTTTTTTTATTTTATTTTATTTCATTTTTTTTTTTTTTTTGCAGAAAGTGCCTGTGTAACTTGTTAAGGCAAAGAATGGACAAATATGACAAAGAAAAACACGGGAACCAGGAAGTGGAAGACTACCTCAGGACGCTGCTGGAGAGTGAGGTGAAACCTCTCTGGCCAAAAGGCTGGATGCAATCCAGGTACGTCATTTACATGAGTACATTTTTTTTTTTTTTTTTTTTTTTTTTTAATAAAAAAAAAAAAAAATTTTTTTTTTTTTTTAATTAAAAAAAAGAGAAATTTTTTCTTCATGTGTTTGTTCGTCAGAGCCTTGATGCAGGAGTGCAGGAAGTTGTTGGGCTTATTTGCTACACCGTAAGTAAAACCATCTGTGGAGTTGATTATTCTGCAGATGATCATTCTGTTATACTTAGACTGCCCCCTTGTGTGCTCAGTGCGAAGAAGGCCAGGCTAGATAAGAAGCAGTCCTCCATCACTAGTCAATCTGAACGCCAGTCTCTAGAAAGTCGACTCTCCCAAGAACCAAATAAAGTTTCCAATCCTGCCCTGGATGGTGTTGGAAAGGAAGTATGGACTGGTCCTCCTCGAAACATCAGGGATGTTGATAAAGGAGTGATTTTTGTGGACATTGATTCACCGACGCCTGCTGCTCCAAACAAAGGTTTCACACCTGTTCCAGCTCATTCCCTTCTGGATCACCTCGCTGAACAGGCACTGGCTCGAGATCCATCTGTCCTGGTTCCTCAGGAGATCCTCGCAGCAGCCATCGCAAAATACAAATACTCCACTCTGGGCCACCACTGGGGTTTTGGCGTGAACACCAAGAGCCCGCCTCCGCCTCCTCAGTCCAGCCCCGTTGGTTTCCCAGTGAACAGAGTGTGTCACGTTGTTTTGACACAGCCTCTGCAGACCGGACACTACACCAAGACTTTGGACGTTGGACAGTCACAGATCGTTTCTGACGATTCTTGCAGGAGCATTCAGTGACCGTCGCCAGTGTGGGTTCACCGAGGGTAAGTCTGAACTTTATCGCAGCAGTATCAGTTGAAATCGGCCTTAATAATAAAAAATAAAAACCATAAAGGCAAAGTCGTATCTGGCAATACAATGTTACACAATACAGGGCAACGATACGATATATTGGGATACACTTTGTTGCTATTGTCATGGAAAACTGTCAATATAGTAAACATATACTTAACACCAGGTTACTAAAATTGTTAAAAAAATTGATTATAATATTTGACTAAATTGTTCATAAAGAAAATCAATACAGTGCTTTAGAATATTGATACCGTGTCGTGAAACAAAATATCGTAATATTTTATTGTAGTGTTATTTTCTTACACCCCTAGTGGTTGCATAACAAAAGAACAGCTGTTAGACATTTGTGGCAGATTCATGCTTCAACAGAGTCAACAGAATTATGCGTGCGTGTGTGTGTGTGTGTGTGTTCTCTTTCAGATCCACAGAGGAGACCTGGACATGTGACAGGCTCACAGTCAACAGCAGCTGTTTACTGTTACAGTCAGATGAATGAAAGCATCATTTTAATGGCGTTAACACTTGGATTACACTGTAACAAGTTGATCAGTGGGGTGAATTCTTCAGTTCATGTTCATTTCCTCATTTTCATTCCTTTATTCTGACTTGTAGTGAAAGTAATGTGATCTGTGTTAAGTTAATAATAAATAATAAATGGATTATCAAGAACACTGTGTAACCAGCTTGATTAATTATGTAACCAATTACTGAAGAAAACAAACAATATAATTGGAAGCAAATGTGTGATGGGCTGAACCAATACAAGGTGTTTTTTTTTTTTAAGCAACATTTGTAATAACTTGTACATTCAAACTAGAACCACGAGGCTTTGCAGTGTTGTGTGGATAGACATCAGACTGAATCTTTTTTTCTTTTTTTTTTTAAGCTGACAATGCTGTGATTTACAAATACTTCCATGAAATACCCAAAGAAAGTGTACCTATACAGAATCCAAAAATAGTTACATGGAGGGCAACTGGACAACGTAGGTTTTTTGTTTTTTTTTAAGATGTTTCACTGGGAAATTCTGGTATTTAGTCTCAAAGGGGCTAAATTAAATTAAACGTGTAACGAGGGTTGTTGCAGAAAGGCTAAATACCAGAATTTCCCAGTGAAACGTCTTTTTTTTTAAAAAACCTACTTCGTCCAGTTGTAACTATTTTTGGATTGAATGACCTGGATGACTGAGAGCCTACACAGAAGCTCCTGTGCAGAGCAGTTCATTGATCAGTGTTTGAGATCAGAAACGCTGGAATTTTTCTCTGCCGTTTCACAGCCGGTAAATCATCTGGATCAGAACCACGGCTGACAGGATGTATCTGTTACAGCTGTTGGCAGTTCCTAGAGAGAGAGGAAGAGACGAGGTCATTAACACAGACTCGGCTTCACTCTATTGTTTCTACTCTTCCAAAATAAATGTTATTAACAAACAATCCAGGAAGGAAAAGTCTTTCCCTTTTTTTGTTTAATTCAACTCATTTGTCACATTAACAAACCTACCACTGCCAACAAGGACTTCGACTTCAACTGTGAAGTTCTTCTCTCCAAGATGTCCTCTCGTCTGTGCCGTGTATTTCCCAGCATGCTTTCTGCTGGAGTAAGTGGGCAAACCCACTGCCTGTCCGTCTCTGTACCAGGTGACTGAGGGTTGGGGGTTCCCTCCGACGTCACAGACCAGACTCTCCCCTTCTCTCACCTGTAGCTTTTCTGGGCAGTGAAGGTGTGGTCCAACTGTGGAGAGCCATGGTTACCGTCAGAGGAGGGAGAAAAGTCACGACTGCGTTCAGTGGAATCAGTTTGATGTTTGCAGTAACATCGATTTCATCGAAACATTTTTCATTTTTAATGTGATCAAAGACTGTTCCCCAGAAATAACTGAAGAGTTGTCAGCAGTTTCACTCACAGTTCACTGAGGCGTTGAATTTTTGCGAAGTCACCACTGGGGGGTGCTTTGGTCCTTCGGGTCCTAGTTCCAGCTCGGCCTCACACCAGTACTGAACCCCATTGTCTTCCTTCTTGGGGAGGATGTCCAGAGTGAAGACTTCAGTCACCGGTTCCTTCACGGTGTTGTTGGAGCGGAGTCGAGCCAGTGCCGTTTGACCTTTATAAAAGGTCACAGTCAGGAGTTCAACAGGAGCGGCCTGCTGCACTTCACACTGCAGAGAGTACCGGTGACCCTCCACCATGGCCCCGCAGTGGTTGACAAAGCTGATGGACACGTTGTCCGGAGGCTCTGTGGACCAGGAAGTACAGACAAAGACGTTAAAACTACATTCAAGCAACGTCAGACTTAAACAATGTCACACGTGAAGTTATTGTCGAAGGTCTGTTTTCAAAAACCTTCAGACCAGTGTGTAAAAGTAAACCATAAATGTGGCTTCATGGTGTGATTATGTTTTGTAAAAAAAAAATGAAATTGAAAAAGTTTGTACTCACTGTAGACCACTACTGGGACGTTAATTTGACACTGCCCTTCCTGATCAATTAGTGCATAACACATGAGCTGGATGCTCCACTCAGTCATCCTGTCTACACTCCAGACTAGATACTGAGCCACCATGGGCTCTGGAACTGGCTGCAAAAAAAACAAAGAAAAAGAATATAATGTCAAACAACTTCATCTGCTTGGGTTCATCAACAACTCCAAAAACTTGGATTTTATTTTTAATCCTGGTTATAAACTGGAAGAAATGATAACAGCATGTGATGTTATTTAGCAGCTCATTAATGATGCGTTCAAGTTCCTGAAACATGTAGGGTATTTTCAGATCATTTTAAATCTGCGGACGTCACCCTCGTACCGTTGGTGCGTTCCATCCCAGGGGTGTAAACTCCATCTTAGATCGAGAGCAGTTGACTGTAGCAGGATCTCCAAACCTGTGATCAGAAGGTTCAAGGCTGGATTTGTATCAACAGCTTTAACTGACCTGCAGTTTTTACCAAGTTTGTGTCCGATGTTTCCCAGCTTCCCTTTGTTTGGTGCTGGTTCTGGTTCAGAGCAGATCTGACCCCGAACACCTCAGTGGTCTGAACCAGAACATCAGAATTTGGATCTAAAACCTTTTGTTGTTCTTCCTAATTTTTCAGCTTCCTTCAATCTATTTTGGATCTAAAACCTTTTGTAGTTCTTCCTAATTTTTCAGCTTCCTTCAACCCGGTTCCACCATACAGTTTTAAAGGTGTTGTCGGTTTGAATCTGTCTTTTCTTATCAATAACGTAGGGCTAACTCAGCACAATTTCATGTAAAATCATCGTCAACTTGAGAACGTACAATTGTAGCACTGTGAAAACGTTATTCCATACCTGACCACCAGGGTGGAGGGTGATGTGGTCAGAGTGCAGGCAGCCTCTGGACTTGACTCTCCAGTGCTGCTGGTGAAGGGAGTGGTGACAGGAGAGGTGGATGATGGGAGTCTCGAGGGGTCAGGTGATGGAGCAGGTGGGCGGTGGATGGATGTGGTGACTGTGGTGAAAAACAAAGCAGGCGAGGGAAACAACACACAGGAGGTCAAATGTCATTTACCTGGAATTTATGACAGATTGTTATGAAAACAACAGTTTATTCTCAACATGAAAAAAACAATATATAATATTCAGAATTTTGGAAACTGTAGTGACCTGCGGAGCCCAGTTCTTATCACTGCGTCTCCCCCAACATTTGCCTCGGGGCATGAACTCGTGAGTCATTTTCCACTGTCTTATCACAACACAGGCAAGGGTCAATTGAATTTTGCCATCTCGTAAAATAATACTCTTTTTTTGCTGATCCATTGTGTAGCATTGTTTGGCCGTGCACTGAATACACCCAGTGTGTTCCTCTGAGGAAGGAAGGACACCCTGCCCAAGTCAGACGGACTCCCTTCTCTTTTCTGTGTCCATTGTTCCACTGAATCCTGGGGTTGTTCTCCGGCCTATCTGAGGATGGATCTCGCCCGCAGTGGCTCACTGGTGTGTGTGTGTCACTGTGGGTGTGTGTGTGTGTGTGTAAGTGTGGGTGTCAGTGCCAACTGTGTGGTCAAGATTCCTCAGCTAAGAGATCATTTGACAAAATGAACAGTCAGGGAAATCCTTCATCTGTCAATCACATGGTCTGAGCCACAAATGAATCAAAAAGATGAGTTTATTTTAAAAACAAAATTCAAAATGGTATAGATATTTATGATATATACAATTAATAGTTGAACGAGATATGACAAAGATCAGGTATAAAGTGCTTATAAATGCACCTTCAGTCTGTAGTAATAATAAAATATAATTATTTCATTTAAAAGAGCCACATGTGCTTATGATTGATGTTGATTGATGGTTAATAGTAAATATTAATATTTAGTTTAGTAAATGTAGCATTAATTAAGAAAATGTACAGGGTCACAATATAGCATTTTTAATATTTACCAAAACAATATCTATTTATTAAAATGTAATGTTAATTACTGTAATTTGAACTTTTTCTAAGACTTTACACTCCACCCTGTTTTTGACTCAATTTGAACTTTTTCTTTACACTCCACCCTGTTTTTGACTCAAAAAAAATCAATATATATATAAATGTATATCCAGTCTATGTGTGTGTGTATATGAATGTACTGTATATATAATTATTTATAATGAATGATTAATTAATTAATTCAGCTAAAGCTATCCCAACATCCACCACAGTCTCCTGTGTGTGATCAACACTCATTAACGTCCGCCGTCGAAGACACTCACCTGAGTTAAATAGGTGGAAGAGCAGGAGTGTGATTGGCCTCTGAGGCGCGAACATCCTTCATCGGTTTCTCAGGAATTTCAGCTGCTGATGTGACGTCTGTGTCGCAGCCACGTCTTCTGGAGGTGAGATGCTAACGGTGACACGGTCTGAGACTTCTGAGAGAAACGCTGAGCACATCTGGGTAATACTGTGTGCGTGTGTGTGTGTGTGTGTGTGTGTGTGTGTGTTTCTGAATGTAATCATCAAGCCGTTGCTTTGCTGTGGCCTCTGAAGCCAACCTATGGGCGTTCTCTGTTGGTATATTGAGAGGAGGAAGGAAGGGAGGTTCAAGAATAAAACAGTGTAGTGCTGAAGCATGGAGGGCAAGAGTGTGTGTGTGAGTGTGTGTGTGTGTGCGTAAGAGAGAGAGAGAGATTTTCTTTATTTTTTCTACCAAATATCTGTACATTCACGGTCATTTGACCAAAATAACTCAAATGTCATTTTTGCGCTCTGCTAACGCAGCGTCAGCCCTGTCTAATAATCCTTCACCGTTTCATCTTTTCTGGTCATTCGATGGCTTGGTTTGACTTACAAATAAAATACAAAGTAAGTGAGCAGTATGTACAAAATATCACCAAATGAACTCCAGGGGTCAATACAAATGTAGGTTAATCATTCTCCTTTAGTAAAGTGGGTCGTCAAACTCAAATCCACACTGGGACAAAATTAAAAACTGAGACGAAGTCTTGGCCAAACTTAATATTTATTAAAAAATTGATGGCAATTGTTGTTTTCCCTTTTCTTCAGATCTGTAATATAGAATTATTTCACATGGAAACAAACTTTAGTTTTGCGTAATCTAACAACCAAAGGTTAATATTATTTAAAAAAAAGAAAGAAAATACAGTGGTATTTGTTTCTTATTATGTCTCTTTATCTGTAGCCTTTGGAGTTCTGGAGTTTTTATTGAACTCAAACAACAACAAAAAGAAAAAAAAAAGTATGTGCTATAGCATAGCCCATAGCAGAAATCTCACGAAACCGATTTCTTATAAAACAGATCCTACAAATGTCTACGGTGTGTACGTCTTAAAGGTACATACACAGGTACACAGATTTACCTGGTGTTTACAGTGAAAGTGAAAGTCTCAGATACTTTCACTTTAAACCAACGAAACACAAGAGAGTGAAAACCTGATGTGTAAAAAAAACAAAAAACAAAGTATTGTTTCACTCTAGTCAAAACAAAGTATTGTTTCGCTCTAGTATAACAGAGAGAGAGTTACTTCACTGTAGTTTTGGTATTTTTTATAAATGTGTCGAGCTGTACTCCCTGAAGGAAGTCAGTTTCTCTTTAAAAACGTCCTTGTGTTTCACCACTTCCTGTCCTGTCTCACCGCCGTCTCTGTGTGAGTGTGAAGCCCTGGTAAGTCTGACTGCTTATCTCTGTGTGTACTTTTATGAAATACATAGACGTTTGTGGGGCGGTAGGGTCTTAGTGAGCGTCTTTAAAGTTCAACTCTCAGTTTTAAGGTATTATAAATCAATAAGCCAGAGTGTAGTTCAGGTTAGTCGTCCTCACAGATGAAGCCCGTTCACCATTCAAACCTTCAAGCAAATGTCTCTGGGACAGCGTCAGGATGTGGTTGTTGAATTCCAGCTCTGGATGTTAGTTAACGTGAGAATCTGTGGGTTGAGTTTTTTTACTTCCACTTTACTAAATCTTTGTTTTTCTGTATGAGGCGTAGCCACGAGAATGGTTAACTTGTGTTCATAGTTGGCAGTCAGTCGTAGTTTATCAATGATTTACTCAAATTTATGACCACGGCTACGGCATCCTGTCCTTCACTGCTAATACCGGTGACTGTAAATACATTATTACACTATTACACAGACGGTCTGTGATTAACAGCAACTTAGTTAAATGAGTTAAACTGAGTAGCATGTTACACCTCAGCAGATATAAAACTGAACATCTCAAAGACAGATAGACAGATAGATATCTTATCTCTTTTAATGTCCACCGTTAAATTGTACAATATTATATTAATTCCATAAAGTAAATAAACATAGTTTGTTGGCCACACATTCAGTTTTAAAGCGCAGATGTCGGTTCTGTACTGTTTCAGTTTAACTTCTCCTCCTCCAGTTCAGTGGACCATGATGGTGGTTCCAGAGCTGCTCCTCGAGGTTCTGGAAGACCTGATCAACGACGACTTCAAAACATTCAAGTTTTACCTGTCAATCCGGGTCCTAGAAGGTTGCAAACCGATTCCCAAATATTACCTGGAAAATGCGTCCCGGATAGAAACAGTCAGCTTAGTGACTGACAGGTACGGTGAAGAGACGGCCGTGGACGTCACTGTTGAGATCTTACACAAGATGGGCCAGAACAATGCTGCGAAGAGGTTGAAACAACAACGCTCAAGTGCAGGGGCTGGTATGTTCCAAACCAGACGAAGACCAAACCATGGCTTCTATAACGTGATCTTTGGTCTGTTCTAATAAATGTGTCTCTGTTCCTCTGCAGGGACACAGTCTGCTGCTGCAGCTGCCAGCGCCTCCTCTGCTGCAGCTCCTTCTGCTCCCATGTCAGTGTCGGCACAGCAGGAGGGTGTTGTAATTGCCCCAAACATTAGCGGTAGCACCACAGGGTCGTGGAATATAAGCATTCAAAAATCATGATTTTATGAATGTTTTTTTTTAATAAACTCCAGTGTTTGTGGTCTTGACTCATATTTGTCGTAACATTGTTTAGAGTTTCTGCCTTTCTTTAATGTTTGACACATAAGCTACGCCCCACGTGTCAAACTAAGGCCCAGGAGCCAAATCTGGCCCACAGTGTACTTATATTTGGCCCTTGAGATCATATCAAATGTGTACTAGGGTTGGCCCCCAGTGTATAGCTCCTATATACTGGCAGTATTGTTAGTATTAGCGGTGTATGCGATGTTATAGCACATACTTTTTTCTTTTTTTTGCCTGTGAAAAAAAGATTTACTGGGACAAACAGAAACAAATACCACTGATGTGTGTTGTATTTTCAAATTTTCATGTGTTTTAATAATATAATATTAAGCTTTGGTTGTTCTAGATTCAATGTTTACACAGAGAAAATGCCTGGTAATGTCACAACAGAATACTGACAAAATTTAAATTAATAAATTAATAAAATTAAATCAAAGTTTAATTTAGGTGTCCTTTGGTGACAGAAAGGCACTTATGAAATAAAATGTATTATTATTATTAGAAATAATTTGAAGGTGATGTCAATGACTCTCCTGTTTCAAAACCATTGTTGCATCTCATCAAACTAAAACCTTAAATCTTCTCTTCTTCTATCTTTCTATAATGTATTACATAACTAAATTTAAAAAACGCAAAGGTCAAAATGATTATTTAACAATATTGAACAGTTTAGATCATTTAATTCTGCAGAGTTCTTAATGAAATGTAGGCTATTTCTCTTTAACTAACAGCCTATCGGTGTTTTTTAATCGAATCATGACGTGTACGTCTGAAACGCAGCTTTTTCATTCTACGTGGAGAAAAAAAGAAATCACATGACAGCGACCCGGAAGTAGTTTGGACCACGTGACGAACTCGACGCATTCTTGAAACGCTTAGATCCTACTCATTCCGCCTATAGTTAACATATTTGTAGTTTACTTTATGTTCCACATACCTATTCAAATTCGGTAACATTGTGTGTACGGTTTCGACAACCCAAACTTGAATGTGTAACGTAACATGTAGTGACGTGTTCGTCGGACCATCGCGCAATGTTTTGCTCTTGATGACGGACCCGGAAATGAGATTGTAACGCCTACAAGCTAGCTGGGAGCCTACGCGATGAAAGCACAAAAGAATAGGAAAAATAACGTTTCTGTCCGAATTTGCTAACAGACGGTGCGACATCACTGCCGATATCGAGGGAATATAACGCTGAAACTTCCTCCTCGATAGTAAAGACCAAACGGCGGAGCTCGCTCTCCAGGTTCCTACCAGCGGGTGCTAGTTAACTTTAGCCGAACGTTAGCAGGCAGTGACCGGTGATGGCAGTGGCACAGAGAAGCTGTGTTGTGGCTTATTTACTCGTGCTTCTGCTGACTAGCTGCAAGGCGAGGATACACAAGCTCACCCTGTGGGTAAGTAAGACTAAGACTCGAGCGTTGGTTGGTCGGGAGCTAACATGTAGCATTGGGCTAATGGAAGTGGATGGAGTTCAGCATTTCAATGTGCGGTACTTGGCTGTGATGGCGGACAATCGACTAAGCAGTTTGTGTAGAAGTTTGAGTTGTTTGAAAATAATATAGTATTTTCAAGAAATATTAATAATAATTAATGTTTCCTTATCATACAAGATAAGGACATATTAAGGAAATAAGGGACCACATAACGACACAAAAGGAATCCCTCGGCATATGGCTGTGTGTTCATCTGCCTTTTGCTTGTATTTTCCGTTTGAAAATAAATGTCTTGAATGGGTAGTTAAAGTTAAAAGTTAGGGTAAGTTAAATTGTGGGGCAGGAGAGGGAAATATTTGAAACACAACGCTGTTGTAAAGACCAAACAAAGGTGAGGCTCTCTGGTCAGTGGAGGAACGGGAAGTTAAGTCAACTTTGAGCACAACATTATTTGTTATCAGTGGAAAAAACTGTTGGTGCACGTTTAATGGTTTGAGCTGTAATGGAGGGCAGTACAACGTGTTGTTTGTCTGAAAAAGAGTCAGTGAGGTTTACTACAGGCTCTTCCCTTAACCTCCCTCACTGTCTGTCTTCACAGAATGAAACCCGTGCTGCTGTTGACCTAAACAACTTTGGATTCTATGCTAATGCCACCTTGGACGTCAACCTGGTTTCCCTGCGCATTCCTTCACAGCTAGTGAACTACAGTGCTCAACCGGTAACAAGTCTCTGCAGTATTTTACAGTATTACAAAAATAAAAAGTCCCAGAAATGCATTAAAATGCAAGATTAGGTCCTAAAACATGCTGCCAAGTGAATATTTTGTTTAAAACTCCAAAAATATTTTATATGAATATTTCAAAAACCACCCAAAACACACCTTACTATAGCCTTACCATCGTGAAAAATAAATAAAAAACAGCTATGTTTCTCTGTAACTTCAACATTGTGTACACAGTCTCACTCTAATTATTTAAAAATGAAAAGCCTGTGACACATACTCTTCAGTTATCCACCACTTAAGTCAAATGTATCTTATTTCACATTGACAAACAACAGTGGGTGCTTTATAAATACCAGAAACTTAGACAGAAAGTTGTGAAGCACTCGGAACAACAAAAGCAGAAGGAAAAAAAAACATCAAACAGTAAAGTTGATGTGTGGTGTGTGAGTTTTTTTTTTTGTTTAAACACAGTACACTTCTATGATTATCTATTTAATGTTGATATTATGACTCTCTGTAGAGATCTATAACAAGGAAACCCTTTGAGAACAGTCCAATATTCCTGGTGTTGGTTTGTTTTCTTGTTCTTTTCTTTCTTCTCTAGTGATTCCAAATGTAGATCCCTCTGTTCTAATGATAGTAACCTGATGTTCAGATGGAACAGCATTGTCTTTATCATGATTAAATTGCTTAAAAAAATTCAATATATTGCCATGCCTATCGTATCGCACTATGTCATAATATATTGTATCGTGGCCGCTGTATCGTGATACCTATCGTATTGCCAGATTCTTGCCAATACACAGCCCTAGAGAAAAATACATTCTGCTGAAAAGAAACTGGATTTTACTGCATACAATAAATTAAACCAAAATAGAACAATTTATCCCTGTAGACTTTGTCTTAAAGGTGTTTATTTTCCTGTTACAAGTCTGTTCTCCACAGAGGCTCCTGTTTATAGTTGATTATAGTCAGTTGTTTTTTTTAATTTTTTTTTATGTTTGTCTAATTTTGTTTTAAACTAAAATAGCTGCACTCAGTCTTTAGGTGCGAAGTAAAAAGACAAGAAGAAAATTCTCTGTTTTTTGTGTTATTGTTGTATAAATGATCGCATCGGTTCTACTCTGTGCAGGTCGGCTTCAGTCTCTCCAGGTCACGCGTGAGCCGAGTCTTGACCTACACAGTGAGTCCACCCCGTCACTGACTGAAGCCTGAAACCAGTGCTTGATTTTTATGTTGTTGGATATGGCGTGGGTGAAAACTCAGTTTGTTTCTTCTTGTTCAGGCTGAGGAGACTGAAGAGTGTCCACTCATACTGACTGATCTGATTCGTAATGATGAGGAGCCTCTCGTTCTCTTCATTCTCAATGTCAAACCCCTCAGGTGACTGTCACAGAAAGACTGAAGTGTGTGTCTCATTTGGTTGAAGATTTTCATGTGCCCCTAGAGGGCACTCTAGGCTTGTGTAAAGGTGTTTGCTACTCCTTTACCACTGGAAATGTACATGTTTGCATTTTTTACATCATTAAAATGTAGTATATTGTTAACTTCTTTTATATCAGTATCAACCACCAGTCCTTCTCCTGACTTCTTTGTTATTGTGACCTTATCAAGTCAGGGGTTCTTCCATTTATTGTCTGTTTTATTGGACACCTTCCCTAACTTGCATTACCAGCAAATATATAATGAATATAATTCTTAAAAGATCACATTTTTAATCACTCTTCATTATAATAGCCTATGTTCTTATTTTACACTTGTTTTTTATATCTACTTTCCAAACAAACATATGTTGAAGTATTACCCAACCTGTACTCAACCCTTATTGACTTTGTGTGTGTGTGTTTGTTTGTGCAGCGTCACTGTGAAATCTTTTGGGAACCAAGACAACATCTTGACAGCCAAACTGAAGGCAGATGTAGCTAAAGGTCTGTTCTTTCACACCTACAGTCTGACAAAGTCATTCAGTGTTTCCACTCTGCCCACGGCAGCCGCGCTCCCTCCATAACTGTCATCGCCTGTTTGCTGTAGGTGAGAGGAAAACCAGGGAGGCTGCTGACGCTCCTCCTGCTGCTCCTGCTGCTCCTGCTGCTCCTGCTGCTCCTGCTGCTCCTGCTGCTCCTGCTGCTCCTGCTGCTCCTGCTGCTCCTGCTGCTCCTGCTGCTCCTGCTGCTCCTGCTGCTCCTGCTACTGATGCTACTGCTGCTCCTGCTGCTGAGGCCAATCCAGTGGACAACACTCAGACACCAGTACATGAGACAAAGAAGGTTGAGAAGAAGGATGAGGTGGAGGTGAAGGCACCAGTAGACACTGTGAAAGTGGAGGAGAATGGATTCAACGTGAGACGTGTTTCTTCTCTCTTACTTCTGACCGTCGTCTCCTCCACTGAGTCCGTCTCTAATCTGTTACTGTGTGTTTCAGTTGGGGACGACCAAACAGCTGTCTCTGGCTGTGGACGAAGTCAATGGCTCCTACAATTTCAGCGTAAGTAAAAGTTGGACCGTTTCATTTGGTCGTGCTGGAGTGTGACACGTTATTTGCCTGTTGTACCGCAGGTGTCTTGCCTAGAAATGTTAAACAATTTTTTTGTTAATAAATGTTAATGTTGTGTATGCTGTGACATTTCTGGTTTAAATTTTAGCTTTTGTACACATCACCCGTTGTATCCCTCCTCCTCAGTTCCACATGGTGTTCGGCCCACGGTCCGAGGGTCCGTACAGCCTCAAATTCCACTACTGTCAGAACAGGATTCCTGGCTTCAAACTGCCTTATTCACTCTCTGTAAGTTAGCTACCTGTGTGTGTGTCCTGATGGGGCTATATTTATGAGGATGTTATTATTGAACTGTGTTTGGGACACTTTGTCCATAAAGACAACACTTCAGGCCAAGATTCAGTTGAGAGAATTTGGAAATGTGTATAATGGCTGAAAACAAAAACCTGTGACCGTCATCTGCAGGTTGAGATTACAGAGAAGAATCCCGAGGGTTTCCTGTCAGCAGCCGAGATCCCGCTGTCTCGTCTTTATATCTGCATGGCGGGGGTCTTCTTCGCTGCGGCCATGGTCTGGGTGTACACACTCATGAAGCATAGGTACACACACACACACACACACTGACAGTAGTGCATGTTGTGAGTCCACTGCCAATAAATGAGTAAAGACACAGTCTGAGAAAAAGCTCCCACTAACCAATAGTAACACTCTAACTAACAGTGCTAAACAGCGCCCCCTTGTTTACTGGTCTGCTTCTCTTCCTGTCTCCTGTCAGATTGTGGTAGTGTTTGTTTTACAGGACCAAAACTGTGTGGAACATGTACACACTGACGTAACGTAACCATCATGGAGATGTTGATGTTAAAGTCAAAAGTGACCTTTTTTTTTTTGTTACTTCCATGTCAATCCTCCCTCCAGGTTCAGTGTGTTTAAGATCCACTGGCTGATGGCAGCGTTGGCCTTCACCAAGTCCACGTCACTGGTGTTCCACAGTGTAAGTGTCAGCACAGTCACTGTCAACACTCATTAGCTGGTGTTGATCAGGTCTCTGAATGTAACTCTTTTTTATTTCACCCAGATCAACTTTTACTTCATCAACACCGAGGGTCATCCGATCGAAGGCTGGGCCGTCATGTATTACATCACACATCTGTAAGAACTGCCGTCTGCGATCAAGTTCCATCTACATATTTTTTTTTTATTTGACTTTACCTTTTTTTTAAAAATAAATCAATGTGTGTGTGGTTGTGGTCTCCAGGCTGAAGGGAGCTCTGCTCTTCATCACCCTGGCACTCATCGGCACCGGCTGGGCTTTTGTCAAATACATCCTGTCTGACAAAGAGAAGAAGATCTTCATGATCGTCATCCCCCTGCAGGTCAGTGTGTGTGTGTGTGTGCGTGTGACAGGTCAGTAATGTGTGGTTTGGAACAGTCTGCGCTCATGTATCTGTCACCTGTTGCCTGCAGGTTCTTGCTAATGTAGCCTACATCATCATCGAGTCCACGGAGGAAGGCTCCAGTGAATACTACCTGTGGAAGGAGATCCTCTTCCTCGTGGACCTGATCTGCTGTGGAGCCATCCTGTTCCCTGTCGTCTGGTCAGTTCCTCTCAGCGCTGCTTGTTTCTGAGTTACCAGTGTAATTAACAAAGACAAAGTTGAAGGTTAGCGTTGACTGGTTCTGTTCACCAGATATTGGACAAACATGGTGCTGCAGGAACACACTGTCATTCACACACGAACCAGAAAACTTGGTTTAACAACGTTGAAACTTGGCATCAGATTGAAGTCATTTTAAACCTGGATTAGTTGTCGATATGGAGTGTGTATTGGCAAGAGTCTGGTGATACGATGTGTATATGTTTTTAAACATATACACATCGTATCATATACATTAGAGTTTTTAAAATTTTTTATGCACATATCAGTAGAAGAAGAAGAAGAACTGTGAGGGTAAAATGCAAAGTTAACATCAGATAATCCCATCACACTGATTTATATCATACATTTTTATTATAATTATTATTGTTTTGCCCACCATGATTTAATAACTTAAAGATCAGTCAGTTAATAGGAGATAATCAGTACAATTATATTATATTACTCATCACTTTAGCGATAATTGGTATCAGACTCAGTCTGCGTTTGTTGGTTTGAAGCCGTAAACAGTAAAATGTTTGTTATTGAATGATTCTATTTCCCGACGTGTTTCCAGGTCGATCCGTCATCTACAGGAGGCCTCCAGCACAGATGGCAAAGGTGAGAATCCTGCCCAGCTTCAGATTTAACGGGTTTAAAGTTTAACGAGTTGAAATAACTTTCCTCTCCGTCGTGTCTTTCAGCTGCCATGAACTTGGAGAAGCTCAAACTTTTCCGACATTACTACGTGATGGTGAGAGCAGCGGTCGAGTGTTGAATGAGGACGTGTCACCGCTGCAGTGTTTCTGACCCGTCTGTGTTTTTGTTCTTAGATTGTCTGTTACATCTACTTCACCAGGATCATAGCCATCCTCCTCAAGGTCACCATGCCCTTCCAGTGGCAGTGGTGCTACGAGGTAAGACGAGAACAGCTGTGTCTGAGGGTCAAAGGCTGACTCAGCGATGACCAAGCAGAAACTGACAGAGCGGTTTTTGTTTTTTTTCCACTCGTATCATCTGGACATGTGGATGTTGAAGTAACCCCAGGCAGTGGAGTCAGTCGTTGCACTTTTCACACACTTTTGTACCAGGAACATGATGTTCTGTAATATGTAGAGAAGTATTTTGTCAGACAAGAGTGTGTCTTTGTCGACCCTGGTCTGGGGTTTACTCCTAATGTTGTTTATCAAGAGGAAGGTCTGTCTTTTGTCAGTTGAGTCTTCGTCGTTGTGTTAACGTCCTTCGTCTATCTTAACATCTTTTCTCCCACCCTTCACCAAACGCCTCGATTCTCCTCCTGTCTGTGTCCACAGTTCTTGGTGGAAGTGTCCACTCTCATCTTTTTCGTCATGACGGGCTACAAGTTCCGACCGGCGTCCAACAACCCCTACCTGCAGCTGCCCCAGGACGAAGACGACGTGGAGATGGACGAAGTGTAAGAACACACCTGTTCAAAAAAAAAAAAAAACTTGACCTCTGTGACCTTTCATGTCACAAAAATGATGGCTTCCCCCTCCTGTGTGTGTGCAGAGTCACTGAGTCAGGAGCTCTGGAGGGCATTTCCAAGGTGAAGAAGACGACTAACGGACGGGAGCGTCAGAAAGAGTCCACCTTGTGAGCCGCAAAGCTTCATGGGAAGAGAGGCTCTCAAACATCCTGTGACCAGCTCGGGGTGGACGAGGGGGCTCATGGACCAAAGCTCTCCACCCAACATTGACAGCTATCATTTCTACACACTCCTTTTGTCGCTGCAAGAGTTTAAAAAAAAAAAAAAAGAAAACAAAAAAGAAAAGCTCCTGATTCCAGGAAAGGAGGCGTGACCACTGTCAGGCTATGCAAAGAAAACAAAACGACGACAACAAAGACTTTTTTTGAAACACTTCTGAGGGTTTTCAGAAGGAAACAAACTTTGCCACAAGACTGAACGGAAACGTGAACAACTGCTCTCTGATTTATTTTTATTTTATTTTTTTGCTTTTGTTGCTTTTCTCCCTTTTGTATCTTTCTCTCCAAAGATAACTATCATTTTAGAGAAGGAACCTCTCCTGGGTGTGTGTTTGTCTAAATGGAACTGAGCGCTGAGCTCATGTGTGACCAGAGAACGTGTGTGTGTGAGTGAGTGTGTGTGTGTGTTAGAGACAGACACAAGATTCAAACACATGCTGTGTTTTTCTTTCCTCCCTGTGGAATCTCCAGTCCGTACTCAGGTGTACGGTCCATCAGTACACAGTCTGCAGTCAGGCCGTAGTACAACTTCACCACGCAGTACCACCTGTTACCTTCTACATACACTTGATTTATGTATATTGAAATATATATATATATATTTATGGATGCCCTGGGTTGTTTATTTCAGTATATTTGGCCTTTTTGCTTATTATTGAAATGTTATATTTCAGTATTATAGTTTATCATAGAGAGGTTTGTTTAGAACTGTTTTTGTGAATTAGTGCTTTGGTCGTTGAGTTGCACTCACACGCTGTGAACCTGGACCTCTGAATATATAAGCCAATAGGGTTTGGAATTTTTTTTTTTTTTTGTCAATATCATTGACAACCTACAACAACAATAACAACAGTTTTTTTTAAATGTATAAATACACAGGTGACCCTGTTGTTCCAGACTGGGCCAAGAGGTGGCGACCCGCTGATCATAGTTGACTTTTTTTCACCTCTTTTCCTCCTGCTCTCGATGTGAATCTTCTGTTTTTTGAATCAACTTCTCACGTGTTGATGAAAGTTGAGGATGGCGTGGACGGACGTTTGTAAATAATTTACAGAAAAGCGTGTTGATATCAGAAGACGAGCACTTTACACTTTTTGGAAGAACTGCACAAGTACACGTGGTACTGATGAAAGTACCAGGCGGCTTTTGGACTTCTTTTCAATAGAT